TAAAGAGTTGCAAATATTTAAGGCTGTAACAAACAAGTATTTTCTGTCGTAGATAACTCTTAGCCAATTTGGATAGGCTGGCAACCTTATGGCAGTCTCCCTTCCTTTTCCCATGTCCCGAATGTCATTCGTTTACTGGACCACTTCATTTTTCTTTTGTATCAGAAATCATGTCACTTGTCCATCGTTATTTTAACTGATCTATTCTAGACAATTTCTGTTTAACCATCAAATTCTACTTCTTACAAGAAATATACCCTATTTAAGAACGTATCAAATAGAAGTAAGACGAGAAATTAAACTAACAAAAATCTGATCAAAAAGTCAATAATTTCAAGGAATCAATATAACAAAGATATAATATTTAAAATACAAAATGCATAGAATAGAATTACCATGATAACATTTTATGTTTTTAAATAAAAATAAACTATTAAATAGTTGCTTAAAAAATAATTTATTACTTAGTTATGTGTTTGGAACACGTTGGTACATCATGTACATACTGTTCATCGTAATATTGTCGAGTCAATGTTCTGGCAAAAGACAACCATTGAGAGTTTATGGTGGAGAAGACGCGGACCAAGGAGCTTATCCGTATGTTGTTCGCCTTGAAATCAGGCATATAAATAACATGGCTAATGGCAGTATATATGGTAGACACACGCATCTGTGCAAGGCAACTCCGCTACAGACCGCTGAGGTGAAAGGACGTGTCCGCTCGCCTCACTTCTGTCGCACCGCCCAACAATTCGTTGAGCAATCCGCACCTGCGCGCGCCGTAAAAGGTGCCGCCATCCTTTGTTCGCGAGCCGATTGTGTTGGTGCAATTTTTATTGCGCCCGCCATTTGACAAGCGATAATCCTAGTTTCGAGGTAGAACGTCGTCATTTCATTGTTCCTTAGGGAACTATTTATTGCACCGCCACCTGGCAAGCAATTATCTAGTTTCTTATTAATAACATAGTAACGTCTATTGTTTCCGACTTCGGGAACTGCGTGAAAGGAATTGTGAAGTGCAGTTTTCACTGCGCGGAGCAACTTCTTAACAGCGCAATTTTAAAAGGCTAGCGGATACCTAACGGTGATAACGAAGCTAGTCAGGCAGCCCCGTTCGCCTGCGTTTCCCCTTCAGGGAACCG